CTCTGCTCTCCCCAGGCTCTTCACTGAGCGTCTGTCCCCAAAACCGCTGCACGCCGCCGCGGCTGGATGGGGGGGGGGAGAGCAGTTTACCGCCGCCTTCCCAGCGGGGTCCGAGGCGTTCCTCTCGACGCTGTGACCGCCTGGGGGCCTCCCAGGACTGCCAGCGCCGGATTCATTGTAAATCGAGGCCTGCAGCTCTCGAATATATTTTAGGTGTCTGTCCCCAAAACCGCTGCACGCCGCCGCGGCTGGATAGGGGGGGGGGGGGGGCAGTTTACCGCCGCCTTCCCAGCGGGGTCCGAGGCGTTCCTCTCGACGCTGTGACCGCCTGGGGGCCTCCCAGGACTGCCAGCGCCGGATTCATTGTAAATCGAGGCCTGCAGCTCTCGAATATATTTTAGGGCTGGAAAGTAAATACTTTCTACCATTGCCCTTTAGGTCTCCGCTTCTTCTTCTGACCTTCCAGTGTCTTCTGGGATCTTCGTGCTCTTCAGAGCACAGCCAGCACATCCTGCTCAGAAGGCAGGGCCGGTAAGACTGGGGATCAGAGGATAAGCCCCTCCCCTCTGGGATCAAAGTTTGCCGGCCCTGCCTATGGAAGGGGGAGGTGCTTTCCCAGGAGTAAGGAGTCAAGGACTGCCCCACTCCTGGACCACCGGAGAAAGACCAGTTTGTGCCAGAGTTCTCTCAACCCCACCCACCTCACAGGGTGTCTGTTGTGGGGAGGGGAAGGGAAAGGAGTTTGTAAGCCGCTCTGAGACTCCAAGTGAAGGGCGGGGTATAAATCCAATCTCTTCTTCTTCGTCTCCTGATTTAAGGATCCACAGATTCAGCCATTTTGAGAATTATAGATATACTGATTTTATTAGAGAATTAAGCTCTACTTTCTTCTTCTGAGCACACTGCTAGTTATAGCAAACAAGAGTCTACATTACTCCTGTGCCTTTCTCTAGCCTAAGAGATTATGGTGTTGCGTGTTAAGTCTCATTAGGCACATTAATCTATTTTGGAATGATCTGCAATAGTCAATCCAGACGATACTGCTGGTCTCCCGGTTCCTTTTAGGTGTATGAGGGAATTCCTATGAATGAATTTCTCGTGTTCATTGGGGATATAAATTTAGGTGCTTTCACGCATGCTTTCTCCACTTTTGGGACCATTCACTGACTCAGTGTTGCTTCCACACTCACCTGGAATTCCCAGTTGGTCTTCACGATGAACCCAACCAGAAGGGGGGGTGGGGCCAGTAGCCGGCCATCTTGTGCAGATGCAGGAGGCCCCCAGTCCTTGGCACTGAGGTGAAAGTCCTGCAGTCAGGCTGAGTAGACCAGGATGACCTTAATGGACCAGAGGCCTGACTCAGCAGACAGCAGCTCTATCATCTGTTCACGGGCAGCTGAGCCCAATCCCAGCACTCAAATGGATCTGTGCCCTATGCAGAATGCTGGTGCAGCTCCAGGATGTCCCCAAGGTGAACAGTGAAAGGGCTTTGGGCACTACTGTCCCCTTGCACTCTCCCCCTTTCCTTCCAGGGTAATTCTTCTCCCGTGCTCATGAACCCATTTAATCTAACCCCCTCCCCCCACAAACACACATCCATAAGCAAGCACAGGCACAGTACAACTTAAAGCCACTTCCCCTTTATTGTATGATTGCAACAGTGGTATTTTTTAAAAGCTTCCTGTCCCCAGGAATTCAGCCCTTTGAGTTATTTCCAAGTCAATCCTTCTGGTTCCCTCGAGGAGAGGGGAGCGCTTGCCCCTCTTCTCCTCAGCACCTCTTTCCTCTATCTGCACCCACCTGTGCGTTTCATGCAGGTGGCTCCTTTTGGAGGCGAGGACAACAGACATCAGTCAGCAGCACATCAGGTTCCTGGGAGGGGGGTACAGAGGACCTAAGTGCTGCTTTTCACTTTGCAATTAAACCGAACATGTAATTAATTTTTCAGTCACCATATGGGCTCACGAGCACATCATGCTTATACCTGTGAAAAAGATTGAGGACAGACTTGTTAATGGTTTTTAGACCGAGCAGCTAAATGGAACTTCCGTGTTCACTAGCAGCATATCTTTGGCACCAGATGCAGAGGCACATACATGGAGAAGGCTGTCACTCACTTTTGTGCCCTGTTTGTGAGCACCCGGAGGCACTGAGCTGTGGCCGCTGCTGGAAAGGGAATGCTGGACTTTTCTGTACCAGCTACCAGAATGCAGGGAAATTCAGCAGTTCTCCCACTAGCAAAAGAATTCTGCCTTTCAGCACCCTAGTGCTGCAGGGAAGCTGCTGGCCTCTCTTATGTCCTATTCATACGACAACTGTTCGGCGTGCGTGCGTGTCTTTTGGAGAATGGGGGTTCCTTCCCCATCCCAGTCTACATTTTCATAATACATATATATTACGCAGTCAGTACTACAACCAAGGCCTGGCCGTAGATAGCCCAGAGGTGAGCCCAAACGGGTCCGATCTGGGAAGCCTAGCAGGGAAGGCTCTGGGCAGTATTTGGAAGGGTCCTCCTGAGGGGGAGGCGGGCAACGGCCTCTTGGCTTGGAAGCCCCTTGAGGGGGCCGCCACCAGCCAGCTGTGACTGGACAGCACTTTCTGCCGTTGCCATGATCAGGAAGGTACAGCAGGCTGGTCACAAAACCTACAAAGGAAATGTAACCATAGCCAAAGATTCACTCCATTCTACAAGAGGCTCTACGAGTAAGGCCTCTTGATCTCAACAGCTGTGACAGCTTAATTCTTTCAAAGGAGTAAATGGAATCAATCAGTTGGCTATAATAAACAATGAAATTTAGACAGATATTATAGACCTAAGTGGTTAAGATTTGTGCCAGCCATAAATACCCAGACAGTGAGCTGTCACATCCTAGCAGCCGAGAGTCCTCCCAGACTGGCTGGGGAGCCCCCTCTACGCTCTTTGGAGAGGACTCCCCTCAGAGCCTTCAAAGAGAGTTCCAGCGGCACTGGGATCTTTCAGAATCTTTTTGTAAGGTTGAGTTCCAACGACCCCGACTCCCCCCCCCCCCAAACAAAAGTGTTTTCTAAAGCACCTACTTATTAACAACAGTAACTTTCGGTTACACCACCACCGTTATGCCTTGGCTGAGGGGCGCTGATGCCAGTTTTTACAGGACTGCCTCCTCTCCTCTGTTTTATCCTCACCCCCACCCTGTGAGGTCCATTCGGCTGAGACCGCGCGCTCCCCCAAGCGGAGTGGGGAGTTGGAGCTGGGCCTCCCAGATCCTAGACAGACACGCTCAAGCGCTGCACCCCACTGGCTCTCCCACGGCCGTCTGCAGATTATCGGGTATTCTCTGCTGCAGATACCTCAGGAGGGAGAAAGCCACGGACCTGTGAGGATCGCCTCAAGGAATGTACGTCCACAGGGCTCAAAGGCACTATCCAAATGCTCCACCTTGCTCATTGTTACTTCCACTCCTTGAACCTTGTCCCCACGCAAGGAGTAAGGCGGCATTCAAGGTGGCTTGGGGCAGCCACTCAGCACAAATGTGGTCCCAGTCCCACAGCTCAGGAGAGCCGCTTCCTAGTTCAAAAAAGCTGCGTTTCCCATGACTGGGCTAAAGGGGAGAGTTCTACTCATGGTCTGCATCTAGTCCAGTAAAAAGTGCTCCTGGGTTTATGACAGCAAAGATGTTTAAATGTTCTTCTGGAAGGCCAGAGTGAAAAGTAGCAATCACTGTCAAACTGTGGCTTCTAATCAACATTTGATGCTTTATTGGAACTTGAGAAGTGCAATAGTTAAATATACTGATGTTTTACAATTTATTTCTTCCCCAAAGAACATGCACAGAAATGTATGCATACTACTATAGAGATCATATGCACACACCAAAAAAAACAAAAAAACCCCCAACCATAGTGAGCCTGATCATTTCCTGTAGTGGCTGGTCACCCCAGCTTGAACCTGAACTAATTTGGCTTCAAGATATTCAGATCCAAGAACATTTTCAGAGCTTTGCACAGAGAACAACCAGCCAGTTTTTAAGAGCCACGTGGGTGCAAATCTTATTCGTGTAGCATCAAAAATAAAATAAAAAACCCTCCCCAAACATGTTCAGTTCACCCTTTGGAATTCACTCTATACAATTTACTGAGTAGTTACAGTTCCTATTTTACAAAGTAATTACACTACATACACAAATATACATTAAGCAAATAAACCTTCATTTTTACGATCCTATATACGTCACAGCCAATGTGTCACATACCTGCTCTCCTCCTAGAAACACCACTTTGGAACACATTTCCTTGACTACAGAAAAACAATTAAGTGCACGTTTGCATTTTAAGGTCGTAGGCATCAACCGCAGACTTTCGTCCTCCCTCCCCTCCTCGGAGGTCCTTCTCAGTAGTCAACGCTTTGACTCCTGGGTGGAATGCTAAAGGGGGTGTGGGTGGGTCTTCATTCCCACCCCCCCCCCCACTCCTTCATATTTCCACGCTTCACAGCACTGCCACTCCCGTTCTCTGCGGCTCCAGAAGACAGAGGGAAGTTCTCAAGGAGATGCATCTTAGCTGCTGCCGCCAACTCCAGGGCCCCTCTGTCTGTGCCGGCTCCCCAGGCAGTTCTGCGCCCCCGCCCCCACCAGCAAGCCTGTCTGAAAGCGCTGTGGCTCCTCCCACACCCCAAGAGAACACCTTAGATACTGGGAAAGAAAACAAGACCCCTTCCGGGGCAGCTGGGTGCCAGGCAGAGAAGAGGCTTCACAATGGGGAGGGAGCATGCAGTAGTGTGGGCAGTCCCGCCTGGCAGTCCCGCCTGGGCAGAGTCCGGTGCATTTTGGCAGGGAGGTTTCCCAGCTACGCCGAAGGTCCTGAGCCGGGTAGTGGCGGCTGGGGCAGCTGCTGCCCTGTCCCTTGCGGCTGAGAGGAGGCAGGCGAAGGGGTGGTCTGCAGCTGTGCCTGGAACTGGGCCAGCTGCTCCGGGCTGGCCAGGGTCTTCAGGAGGGTGTTCTCCTGCTCCAGCTGGCTGTTCTTCTCGATGAGCTCTTTGATCTGCTCCTTCAGGACCTCCACCTCCTCTCTGACGGCGTACATCAGGTGGCTCTTGACGAGATCCTGGAACGGGGGGGGGACACACAAGTGTTAGGGTCCCGGGAAGGGGCCACGCAAGGAAGCCACGGGGCAAACAGGCCCCAAGGGCAGGCGTGACCGGAGGCCGTTCCGCAGGGCCCGTCAGATGGAGGTGGACTGCCAGGGTGGGCTCCCGCCGGGCTGATTTCCTCCCCCCCCCCGGATCCTCCTTATCCTCCTCTCACCTAACTGTAGGAGAGAAAGGGGAGGGTGGTGCCATGTCCCCCTCATGATGTGCCACCTGGTGGGTGAGGCTATTGTGACTGGAAGAGTGGCTTCAATGGATGAAGACTGTGGCTACCTGCTCTGAGCCCTGCTGTGCAGGGGAGGGCCGAGGGCATACATCTTAGGGGGAAGGGCATCTACAGTCCCCCCCCCACCTCGCTCGGGGTCCCTCCCCGTGAAGGTCAGGCAGAGCCCCCC